TGGCCTGCTGTGTTCCTCCAGCTCCACACTGCGTTGTGTCTGACTCCAGCATCTGCAGTTCTCGCTATCTCTGGTTGATTAGAAAATATCTAGGAACAAAACTGTGGTCTCTGGCATATGTGCCAACAAAGGGTTCAGGATGAAACAAATAAAACCTGTTCTGCCACACATAGAAAGCACAATCCAAATGGGCTCTCATGCAGAAGTAGTGTCCCTACCTCTGGGCCAGGATGTTCATGTTCCACCTGCTCCAGAAGTGTGTAAAAATATCACTGTACAGGTTGATTAGAAAGTATCTAAAAATAAAGGAGAATGTTGTCCTTTGCAGAAGAATCAATGCAATTATATTTAAAGTGGTAATGACAGGTGATTCTATAATTAAAGGCACAGAAAGCATCCTTTGTAAGAAGGATCGCGAGTCACTGATGGTGTCGACCTATTGTCATCAGAAGGGACATCTGAAACTGGCTCAGAAGGATATTGGAGTGCGAGGGGGAGGATCCAGTTGTTATGGTCTGTGTTGCGCTAACAACGTAGACAAGAGGTCGTGTATGGGGAATTAGGAACAACAAGGTAGCTCAGTGGTTAGCACTGCTGCCTCACAGCGCCAGGGACCCGCATTCGATTCCAACCTCTGGGTGGAGTTTGCATGTTCTCCCATGTCTGCTTGGGTTTCTGCCGGGTGCTCCTGTTTCCTCCCACAGTCCAAAGATGTGCAAGTTAGGTGGATTGGCCATGCTAAATTGCCCATAGTGTTCAGGTATGTGTAGGTTAGGTACATTAACCACGGGAAATGCAGGGTTACAGGGATAGGGTAGGGGGATGGGTCTAGGTGGGATGCTGTTTGGAAGGTCAGTCTGGACTTGATGGGCCGAAATAACACTGGAAATTCTATGATTAAAGAACTGGATCTCAAGGATTATAATCTCTGGATTATTACCCGAGCCGCATACAAATTGGCCAGGGATAAGAAAATTTACGAAATGAATGCGTGGCTAAAGGAGTGGTGTGGCAAAGAGAGGTTCCATTTCATGGGGCACTGGCATCAGTATTGGGACAGGAAGTAAGTGTACCATTGGGACAGGCTTGAGCTGAACCGATTTGGGACCAGTATCCTAGCGGAAAAGCTAAATAGAATGGTCACAAAGACTTTAAACTAGTAAGTGGATGTAGGGTACGTGTTCAGGCTCAGATGAAGTTAGTACAGTTTCAAAACCAAGGAAAAGGACAGAATGAAGAAATAGTCAGGAATCCTACTTCAGGTATGGCCAGCAATGGGAAATCTATATGAAGTGTCTTGATTAAACCAGAAGAGAGTAACTTAAGTATCATTACAGAGACTGTTGACTAATTGAGAACAAATTATTAACTTAACTGAGAAATTGGTTGAGTGGGAGGCAACAAAGTAGGGTCAATGGGTAGGTACTGAAATTGGCAGGATGTGACAAGTCGTGTCCTACAGGGCCTGTGTTAGGGCCTCAGTTATTCATACTATTTATTAACAACTGACATAATGGCATAGAAAGTCAAATATCCAAATTTACTGATGAGACAAAATTAGGTGGCATTGTTGACAGTGTAGATGATGTCTATCAATACCCCTTAAATTTTATGCTGAGGTGAATGGACAAAACTGTGGCAGACTGTATTCAGTGTTAAGTAAGTGAGAGATTATCTATTTTTGAAATGAAAAAGGAGAGACCAGGAGACTTTCGGATGGTAAGAAGTTAAATACAATTGCATAAAACCCTGGTTAGAATCTGCTTGGACTTCTGGGAGACGATCTGGGCACCACATCTTAGGAAAGGTATATTGGCCTTGGAGGGACTACAGCATAGGTTTACAAGAATGATGCCTGTGTTCAGGGGCTAAATTATGAGGGGAGATTATATAATCTAGATCTGTTTTCTGTAAAATTGAGATGGTTAAGGAGCGATCTGATTGAAGTCTTCAAGGCATGAACAGGAATAGGCAGGATAGATAAAGAAAACCATCCATACTGGTTGGGGATTTTAGAACTAGGGGGCGTAGTCTGAGAATTCGGGCCAGACTGTTCGGGAGAGGTGTCAGGAAGCACTTCTACGCACAAATCGTGACAAACTATTTTGAGTTGTTGAAAGATCTGCCCATGGCTAACATTTATTCAGTGGTTGCCCTTGAGAAGGTGGTAGTGAGCTGCTGCATTCCAAGTGCTGTAGGTATACCCATTATACCATTAGAGAGGGAATTCCAGGATTTTGACCCAGCAGCAGTGAAGGAAAGTTATGATGGTGAGAAGCTAGCAGGCAATGTACAGGTGGTGATCCCATGTGTCTGCTGCCCTTGTCCTTCTAGGTGGACGTGTCAAGGGTTGGGAAGGTGCTATCTACAGATCTTTAGCAAATTTCTGTAGTACGTCTCGTAGATGGTACACTTTGGTGCTGCTGAGCATTGGTAGTGGAGGGAGTAGATGCTTGTGGATATGGTGCCAATCAAGCAGGCTGCTTTGTCTTGAATGATGTCAAGCTGCTTGTGTATTGTTGGAGCTGCAGTCATTCAGGCAAGTGGGGACTATTGCATCACACTCCTGCCTTGTCTTGTGCTTTGTAGATCCAGGTGAACAGGCTTGCTGCCATATTCCTAGCTTCAGACATGTTCTTGTAGGCATGGTATTTATATGATAAGTCCAGTTGAGTTTCTGGTCAATGTTAACCCTCAGGATGTTTTAAGTGGGCCATTCAGTGATGGTAATGCCATTGCACGTCAAAGGATAGTGGTTAGATCATCTCTTAGGGAGATGGTCATTGTCTGGCCTTTGTGTGACATGAATGTTACTTGCCATTTTTCAGCCCAAGCCTCGATAATATCCAGGTCTTACTGCATTTAAACATGGACTGCTTTATGGATCGTTTCTTTAAAAATAGCTGACACCAGAAAAAGAAAATTAGAGTGAGCTGCTAGCATCTGGAATGCATTGCATGAAAGCATGGCAACAGCAAATTAGTAGTAATCCAGAGAACAGACTAATCCTTGTGTGACACAAGTTCAAACCCCAACGTGGCAGCTGGTAAAATTTAATTGAGTTAATAAATCTGGTATTGATGGCTAGTCTCAATGCGGACGACCATGTGAAATATCATCAATAGTTGAACAAACCCTACTGGTTCACAAATGTCCTTTAAAGAAGAAAATCTGCCTTTGTTACCTAATCTGGCCTATGTATGACTCCAGACCCACAGCAATGTGTTTGACTATTAACTGCCTCTGAAATGGTCTAGCAAGCCACTCAGTTTAAGGGCAGTTAGTGATGGACAACAAATGCTGACCTTGCAAGGATGCCCATATTCCTGAAATGTTGCAAAAATGTCTTTGAAGTATGGTTTCATTGGTAATGGAACTAATTCGTTGGTGCATGCAAAGAGCTGGTACCAGGCATGATAGATTAAGTAGTCTTCTTTACTGCATTTCCTCCATCGTAAGGTCAAAAATGGGGATATTCGTTGGCACAACGGTCAGCACCCATTTGTGATACTTGAGATGCTGGAGCACAAAATCACAAAATTATTGTAACCTATTCAGCCCATCATGTCTCTACGTGGTGTATTATCTAGTGCCAATCTCCTGCCTTTTCCCTGTATCCTTGCACCACATTATTAGCCAAATAAAGATCCAATGCCCTCTTGAATGCCTCAATTGAATCTGGCTGCAACACCTTTCCAGGCAGTGCATTTCATACCCTAACTTGCTGTGTGAAGAAGATTTTCCTTGCATTACCCTTGCTTCATTTGCACATCACTTTAAATCAATGGCTTCTTACCTTTGTTTCTTTTACAAGCACAATCAGCTTCACCCTATTTAATCTGTCCAGCCCCCTCATGATTTTGAAATCTACAATCAGGTCTCTTCTCGGCCACCTTATCTCCAACTTCAACAACAGTTCCAACTTCAGCTCAGGATAGATGCAAGTTTCTCACACCTGGAACCATTCTAGTAAATAGAAGCAGTCTCTGTCCAGATGCAGCAAGACCTGTACAACATCCCAACTAGGGTTTATAGATGGAAATAACATGTGCCACAGATGTGACAGGAAATGACTATGTTCAACAAGAGAGAATCTAATCATCACCCCTTGATGTGTTGTCTTGTTACTATCGCTGATACCCCCAACTTTAACACATTAATGTGTGGGTGTTACTATTGACCAGAAACTATTGAACTAACCATATAAACACTGTGACTACAAGAGCAGGTCAGAGGTTAGAAAATCTGTAGTGTGCAATTCTCATTCTGTCTTTGGGCAAAGGTAGTAAATTGAGGGAAGGTTAACTACCACAATATTGGGCAGGAATTGGGGAATGTAGACTGGGGGCAGCTCTTTGAAGTTAGATTCACATCTGGAACAGTGGGACTCTTCTAAAAGGCAGATGATTAGAGTTCTGGACCATCATGTTCCTGCAACAATGAAGGATAAGGACAACAAGAGAAATTGAGAACTTAGTCAAAAAAAAGGAGGCATATGCAAGGTTTAGGAAACTGAAAATGGACAGAGCCCTCGAAGAATACAAAGATCACAGGAAAGAACTCAAACAAGGAATTAGGGCTAACAGGATCTTTGGCAAACAGCATTAAGGAAAATACCAAGATATTTTGTACCTATACAAGGACACCTGACTTGGAAATGTGTCATCGTTCCTTCGTTGTCATAGAATCATGCAGCATGGAAATGGACCCTTCGGTCTAATTAATCTATGCAGACCAGGATTCCCAAACTAAACTCATCAAATTTGCCTGCAGTTAACCCGTATACTTTTAAACTTTTCCTATTGAAAAGCATTAGCTCAGGACAAGGTCAAAATCCTAGAACTTCAAATTATGTTGGTGATATCATGTGTGTTTTTCTTTATCAGAGGTATTCAACGATTTTTACCTTTTCTAATATAGATTTTGAAGGTTAATGACTTTTACAACGAATTTTGAAAACAAGTGTGATTTACTAAGTTTATTTTTCCTGACTCCTTTAGAGGCAAAACTGCAATACTGACAGATAACAGAATTCGTATAATGAATGAAGTTATATCAGGAATGCGAGTCATCAAGATGTATGCATGGGAAACACCCTTTTCAAATTTAATTGCTCAAGAAAGAATGTAAGTTTTTTTTTGGAAACTGAATACACTATAACCTCATGTCTGTAATGGTTGGGATCAAACCATTTCTAGATCTCACATTTTTCTGATTTGTAATGTGGGATTGTGTTTCAAATAACAAGCGAAATCGGTGAGTGGCGAAAATAGCCTCTTAATTGAGCATCCACAGTAGCACAGTTTGAGGTGGTGATGGAATTCCGAAGTACAGTTCTTACAGTAGCCTCTTTATACACAGTTCTTACGTATATTAAAATTCTATCACTATGGTGTTACACAGTTTTATCTATTGTACACAGACGTTTGTTTGACATCTGTCCCAAACATTTGCGAGATGTTGGCTGCTACTTGGATTAAAATGTCTGTCTAGTCTGCTTGCATAATTAAGAGGTGTTAGTCCTTTTGTTTTTTAAGTCAGTAAATGTTAGTAAAAATACTAGACCTATATGATCTAAATTAGTTAGAAATCATATGTGCACTAAATAAAGGTAGAAAGGACAGTAAACTGATTACTGCAGCTGGGTCATGAGATTTTATTTATTATTTGCCGGCGTGAGTTTCATTCATTCATGCAATTTCACAGAAGCGCTATTTTGCTAGCAATTTTCTTAAAGGGAACAGGGGCCCTATTCAATATGTAATTAACAGGTACAGGCTAGTGGAAGAAACTTGTTTGATGTTCTGCAACCTATTCAAGTCCAGGGAGATGGTTGCTAAGGGTCTGATTAACATTATAATCTTTCTATAGTTTCTGGCGGGTCGTGGAGACACTATGGCGGTGAGGGTATTGTTTCTGAATAGCTTAGTCGACTTTGATAATTATTCAGAGGTAGCTTTTGATGGAAATAGGTCTGATAAGGGTTGAAGGTGTGAAGAAGCAATAATGGATTTTGATGGAATGTTTTAATTTCGTCTATCTTGCAATAGTAAAATGTACTACAAAAATCGCGGTTTTATAAATGAATGAAAACACATTATAGCAAACATCGGGTTAGTAAAGGGTTATGAATGAGTGAATGGGAATACAGTATTAATGAATACAGCGATAGTAGGCACTGCAGATGCTGGAGAATCTGAGACAACAAGGTGCAGAGCTGGATGAACACAGCAGGCCAAGCAGCATCATAGGAGCAGGAAGGCTGAGTTTCAGGCCGAGACCCTTCATCAGAAATGGGGGAGGGGAAGGGGGTTCTGAAATAAATAGGGAGAGGGGGGAGGCGGATAGAAGATGGATAGAGGAGAAGATAGGTGGAGAGGAAACAGACAGGTCGAAGAGGCAGGGATGGAGCCAGTAAAGGTGAGTGTAGGTGGGGAGTTAGGGAGGGGATAGGTCA